GGAAAGACAAATGTTTTGTGAGGCTGATATTTGAATCTGCCAGAAGCCATCATTTGGGCCCATCTCAGAAAAAAACCCAAAAAACTTATAGAAAATGTTTTGATGCACTCAGCAAAGTAAGGAGTGGAAGGCACTTAAGGGACACAGCAGCCTAGAGGCACCTTGCAGCTTTTGGATAATCTGGGTGTATGCTAATGAGACTGAAGGAAGCATTCAGAGCCTACGAGTTGTTTCTAACTTTTAACACAAGAAATCAAACCCAGGAGGCCCAACAAGCAGAGGGACAAATTCATTTAGTCTGTCTTTTTGCCTTTGGGAAATCTGTGCTAGGGAAAGGCCTTTTCAATTTCCTCTGGCATCCTGTCCAGAGGGAGTGCAGCTCTCCGTAAGTCCCGGTATGCAGAGCAGCCAAACTGGCAGCTCAGGAGGAAGGATTGAAGCACCAGCACCACTCATTTCATCCTGCTGTAGACAAGAGCTGTCTGCAGTCCTCCTTTACACTCCTCTTGAGTAGCACAGAAGGCCCTAGGTTGAGTTTCTTCTCTTGTAATCTTTTCCTTCAAAGCCTTGGGTCTTCACCAACTCTGCCTACCTGCTACACACATACACATATATGCCTTCAAGAGTCACTGTGTGCCTAGAGACAAGTTAAACCTCAGCCAGGTCTAGTCCATGGGTTTTTATTTAACTACCTATGGTTCTGGTAATCAGCAGGTGCTAAAACGGAAGATAAAGTTTATTTTTATGATAGAAAAACTTGCTTCTTACATTGGTTAATTAGTTTCTACACACAGGGATGGCATCTTTATTCACAACTTAAGGGAAGCTGTGCTTTACTGTTTTGTTTTGAATTAACATAGTGTGACCAAATCAGACTTACTAGAACTGAAAGTGAAATCCAAACCTCTATTTAAAACAGGTAATTTGTACTTTACATAAAGGCCTCTTTACCAGCCTGAACACAGACCATATACTCCTCCTGTTTGTCCAGCCTGTTATGCTCTTGTCATACTTGTCACAGCAAGGTCTGATTGCTTTATTCTCAGATTGTTTTCAAATACCAATTACTAAGACTCCAGGCTGAGACTGGTGCCCAGTTCTCCTTAACTTCTGCTGATTTGTGCAGACTCATTTAATTCTGATGACTGACTGAAAAGCTGTTTCTGTGTTATGATGTGCTGCTTAGTGCTTAGAACTAGTAAGTTTAGAAGGACAGTTTAAAGAAGTTAAATTAAGGTTTATTTTGTGTTTTCTCTGCATTCCTGATGGTGATGGAGATGGCTAAAATCTTGAGAGGTCACAATGATTTGGTGGGGAGCTGCAATGCATAGGATTCTTGTGATTCCTGCTCAAAATGCCATTGTTTTTTTCTCTATGTATAGATGTGTAATACAATGCAATAAACTGGGACTCTCTACAGTCTCTCAGAACACAGTGGACCTGGACAAGGCTCTGTAAGATTGTAGCCTGTAGATTGCTATTAGGCTCTGTACTGTCTCCCTTCTACCACTGGTGCATCAAGAGACTAACTGGTTTCCAGTAACTCCAGAAAATGTGCTGAAAACCTTTGTGCTGAAAACCTGCTTAGATGAAGGGGAATTCTGTCATGTGAATTATTTATCTGATTTTTTGTAAGTCCTTTGTGTTTAGGAATTTTCTCAGTGGAGAGGATTTTTAAAATCCGTGCATCAATGAAACTTTTCTTTATCAGTGGGGTCAGTATAGCTTAGGATAAATGGGGGTGCTGCCTCTGTGGACCACAACAGAGCTTCCGAGATCCACAGGAAAAGTATTTGGACTTGACAACTACCCACTGACACTAAATATAACCTTCTGGTAAACATTAAAACTTCAAGGGCTTTGTGGCTGATGATCATGTTGAACTCCAGGACATTCAGTGAGAGACTAGAGTGGAAAACAAACATGAAAAGAAACATAGGGGGATGGGAACTTTGAAAGCTTGTGGAGAGAACAGAGAAGATTTTGGTGGTTTTTTTTTTTTTGCCTGGTTCAAGGGTTTCCAGTGTAATAAAGCTGAAGTATTCATAAGGCTGAGACAGGTTAACCAGTAATGTACAAAAAAAGCTCACAAGAAACTGTGAATTGCTCCAGCACATTTTGTCCTAACAGGAGTACTAAAAAACACTGTACACTGAGTAATGAACAAAAAGCAGATGCTCTTGGCATTTCCATCTTGGTTCTTCTGCTTTAAATAGGACAATTAGCATCCTCTGCACTATGGTTTTTACGTCATGTATATAAGCTCTGATATCTGGCTATAATTATCAGAAGGATTTCACACAGAGCACCAAACAGCTGGAAAATAGTATCAGCTCTCAGTCCCTATCAATGTGGGCTGGATTTGATACAATAATACTTGGAAGGTTCTTTATCTCTTTGACATAAGCTCAAGGATCTGGTCTATCCTTCCTAACACCATGAAGACCAAAACCTTTACTTTCTCAGCAAAGTAACAGACAAGGACAAGCAAGTTTCTAAAGCAGATCATAAACTGTTTTTTCAAGTATCTCTTGCATGATCATCCATTATCTTCTAGCCTGCAATGCTGTCCTCAGCCTTCAGGTCACCCCTAAATACCAGCTCATCTAGTCTTACAGCACATGGAAGAAGTTCTGCTCCATAGCAGAAGTTTTGACCACTCTTAGCAAACATGGTTGGGACTTAGTTGGATAGGTGTTTAAAGCAGCTTCCATGTGTAGCTGGGGCACTTTCACCACTGCTCTGTGAGGTGGATAGCCATCACCCTGTCTATCTGACAGCTGGGCAGACTGATGTGTTACTTGACTAGTTCAGGATGACTAGAAAGCAGAGAAGACCCAAAGCCCTCGTTCTAAAGCAGTAAAACACCAATGTGTTTGTAAGAACAATCATTTACCAGTGCTGGAAGTGATCACTTTCTCTGTTAGTTTAACTCTTCTTGTCTTACAAACTTTTTTCAAGGCTGTAACAACTTCTTTTAAAGATAGAAAAAAAAATGCAAACATCTTAGAAAATATTCTGCAAGGAGAGTAAGAGACATTTAAGCCTGTTTAAAACTCAATCTAAACAGAGACAGACCTGTTGCCAGTGAGGAGGGAAACTTGGCAGCTTTGCTTAAAGCTTCCCACACAGACACTGGAGACGAAAGAAAACAAAGAAGCTGTAGTCCCTGAGGGTCCTGCCACTCCCTGGGCAAAAACAGTCCCTTCCCTGCTTTTCCTTTAGCTCTCAGACACACATGTGCTCTCTTAGTGCCATTAGTACAGCAATAACCAGTTGAGCCCTACAGTCGTGGAAAAAATACAGGAAATGAAGAGTTAAAAAAAAAAAGGGAAAAGAGAAAAAAAAAAAGAGAGAACTTGGAGGCGAGCCAGCGTCCCCGAATGACTCCGCTCTGCCGGCAGCCTGGAGCGACACTCCCCGCCGGCCCTGCCCTCCCTCCTCTCCCCGCAGGGCGGGCATGCCAAGCCCTCCTCTCTTTATCAGGGCTGGAGTTCCCCTTCTTGGTCTCTGGTTGGAAACCCAGAAACGTTTCTAAATTTATCTTTCCCTTTCAGGACAATGGCAAATGCCAGCAATAAGAGAGCAAAAGAACTGAAAATTAATGGAGACAATTCCCTGCAAGCCGAGTGGAAACACCTTTTCTGTATAACTCCCAAGGCGGCAAAAAGCAGTTACACAGTGCAAAGCAGGACAGACTGCCTGGGGTGCCAGGAACACACTGTTCCTTTGGCTGTGTGCCACAGGGAATTGTCCATCCATATGCTCAAATTTGATGGGGCTTTCTTCTCTCCCACAGAGAGCAAAGCATACCATCAAACTAGACTGGCTCTTACTTTATCTCAGGAAGGCAACAGGAAAAGCTGAAGGCATGCTGAAAGTAAGGCCAGCATGGGTGAGGCTGACACCTCAGAGCTAAAACTGCTCAGGAGTTGTGTCATGTTTAATTCTGAGGATCTCTTTCTTACTGCTCTTTTTGAGAGAATTGACCATACATCTTAGCAAACTAATTTGCCATCTGAAATTACTCAGTGGAACGTCTTGCACAAGTCTGCTCTAGTCGGTGTGGTGCCTCCACACATGTGCTATGATTGGTGCCTTCAGCAGAGACTGGACTCCTCAATTTTTGGTGTCCACTTTCTGACTGGAAGCCATCCTGTTTCCCAGCACCAGGCAGAGGCGTGAGGTGTGGCAAGTCATGGGGCCTATTTCAAGATGGCCCTCCTAATACTTTCAGTGCAACTTTCTCAAGGCTTGCAAGACTTCCATTTTTTCTGTGGGTGCATCTCATAAATTACAGTAGCAACAAAAAAGTGCTCAGCCTTCACCAAGAAGTAAGCACTGAACACTGATGAGTACAAGTTATGGGTTGCATTCAAATGTTTTTTTCTTTTGAATTTGGTTCTACCCAGCTGCCGAAAGCATTTTAGACACTGCCCATATCCCCCTCTCTCCTCACTCATGGTGTCTCCTTGCAACTCGTGTTCAGCCTCTCATCTACCTTCTGCTTACTCCAGCTTTCACAAAGTGTCTGCTGAAAAAAACAGATACACAGCCATGTAGGTGCCTCTAGAACATTTAATTTAAAAATATCAAGAGTACTGATACTTGCATGGGAAGTGATAAGCTGGTATAAAGAGAGGGACTGGAGCAGGGAGTAGGGAAAATGGGGAGGTAAGAAGTACTGGAAAGGGAAGTAGAAGACACACAGAACAAGAAGGCCAGCAGCTAAAAATTACAGCTTGGTACAATCCACACAGGTGACCCGCATGCCATTCCCTATGACATTAATAAAAAAGGGCAACATTAGCTTTGAATCTATGCCCAGTAAGGGTTTATTCCCAGAGGGGTTTTTTTTTGTTGTTGCTGTTTGGTTTTCCCAAGCTTGAGTTCCGAGAGGTGAAACCATAACAGTGGCCAAATAAAAGTTTGTTTGGTTTTGTTTTTCATTTTAATTACCAAGCTGTAACAAATAAATCTCTGGCTGGATTGTAACTAACCTGTATGGGTCCTTAGATGAGCTTTAAGATGGGAAGATTTGCCATAAACTTTTTCACACCCCACATAGTGGCATTTGTGCTTTTTCTGGGGTGATCCAGGGTCAGTCCAGCTTCTTATGCGTTTGTTCTTTTGTCTGGGGCTTGGTTCATTTACTGCAGCCAGGCTAGTAGGTGTGGCTGCTCTTTCTCCTCCGCTCTTACCAGCTGAAGACAGACTTTCTTCCCCAAACTCCTTAGGAGCAATAGAAATGTGTATTTGTTCTGTTATATCAAGCGTCTCTGTTTTTTCCGTCCTTAGAGCAGGTGAGTTTGGGACATGCTGGTTCAGATCTGCTAAAATGCTAGCCACCACAAGTAATGATGATCCATTGTCTTTCCCGGTTTCTCTGACTTCCCGTCTATCTTCTCCATTGGATGAAGGAAGTATTGCTGCATCAGGTTGGGGATCAGGCTCCCCTTTAGGACTATGGATAACAGCACGACTTGACATAGAAACAAGGCACTCTGCTGCAAAATGATCCACATATGCTGCTGTTGCCATTTTTCATAAGTTTAAAAAGAAATCCAAACAGACGAAGACAAAAAAAAACAAACCCAACACAACAGCGCTCTTTCCCTTTTTAAAAAGATTACTCAAGCACACTTTTCCCTCCCTTATTTCTTAGGATCGGTTTGTAGGAGTAAAGGCTGATATCGCAGCCATCAAACCCACACTTTGTTCGTGACGATCACACCCAGCTTCTCACTAAATCGAAAAAGCGTTGGCGGTCCAATGGAAGAGAAAAAGAACAGCAGATAGATCCTGGCACTGGCAGCTTGTTGCTCGGAGAATGGACTAGTGCCGTTTTCTCAAGAAGGCAACGAGCTGGCGATGCGGTCTCGCAGCCCTCCCATCGCGCTGTGACAGCGGACCCGGCGCTCCCCGTTATCGCTGCCCGGAGCCGCCCGGACCCCGCGGGGCGTGGCCTGGGGAACATCTGGGCGTGACGTCAGCGCGGGGCCGCAGCCCGCGCCAGCAGGTGGGCGGCGCGCGCGGGGGGCAGCGCCCGCCGGCGGGAGCAGGCGCGCGATTGGCTGGCGGCGCGCGCGGCCGGCACCCTCCGCCCCCGCCGCGGCCGCAGCGCGCAGGGCGGCGCGCGCGGACCCCTCCGCCAGCCCTGGGCGCGGCCGGGGAGCTCCCGCGCCTTTGGCTGCCTCCCGTGCGCACTCTGACGTACGCGAGCGATTCGGTAACACCCGTGTTAGAGCTGCACTGCGAGGGACAATTTAACAGGCGCTGAACTTTACAAGATGAAAACGTGGTGAAGTTGGAACTGGCACAAGTGACAGGAAGGAGCGAGGCTGCACGGTTTGGTCCGCAGCTCCACAGATGGAGCTCGCGTGTGGATTTTAATGGGTTGTGACATGTTTAACCAACTGCCAGGGAACACACTTGGAATCACCTTCCTGTCACAACTCTAGCACTCCGCAGCCTCGGAATTATTTAAAAGTACAAACGCAAATTCCTTGGGTTTCATTATTATTCTCTGCTTGTAAAAAATACAGCTCGACCAGTTTTATAGAGATTAATGCCTGAATCAAGGAGTTGTATGTGTAATTTATCGAGTAGAAGAAATGCATCTGAATGGAAATCTGAAAGCACTTGTGACACCTATTACCTTTTGCTGGAACATGTTTCTCCAGAGTAATTCCTATGAAATTCATGTCTTTAGCAAAGACTTTTTTTTTTTTTCTCTGAGACAGAGATGATCAGAGGAGGGGTGCATTGGAAGTCCTTCTTTCTGGAGGAAAAGTTTTGTGGAGTTTGAGACAGTGTGAGTGGAAGTGAACATCTGTTCCAGAAACCCAAACAGTTTTGCTGCTAGGTTGAGCAAAAAGTTGGTTTCATACATGTGAAAATACCACATTCAGGAGTAAAGACTGCTTATGCTACCAGTGTGCTTTGTGAAAAAATGGAATTTATGTCCCCAGGCAGCACTGCCCCTCAGGGCCAGGTTCATGGGGTAACCAGCCACAGTGCCCCCATGTCTGCTCAGAACAGGGCAGCTTGTGGTGCAGTCTCTGTAGCAAAGAGAGAAATAAGGTACACCCAGTGCAGGAGGATGTGGTTTAATGCTGAATTGAGACAGAACATTTTGATGCAACTATACTGTACTATACCATTTGTTCTGAGCAGATCTACAGGAAATGTTAATACATTCCCAAATAAAAAGGTTGAGTTTGGGACTTACATATTAGATGAAAAAGGAATTCTGTGGAAAACATCTTTAAAAGAAATATTAGTTGTGCTTAAGCTCAGACTCCTTCTTGAGAGAGAATTGCTTAAGCAGACCTACCTGGCGGTTCTTTAGTAGTAGATTCTGAGAAGAAACCCTGCAGCTCTTTCAGCGTGAGAAGAAACAGGGGAGATTTTCAGGTAAATAAGGAAAGGGCAATACTTAAGCACAAGTTCTCAGACTTAACTCTGGGATCAAGGACATCGATCAGAAAATGTACAGTGAAAGGGAGATCTGGACTATTCTGGTTGCCAGCCACAGCAGGCTCTGATGGGGATTCTAGAGGCTCCCTGTTATTCTCTGTACCCTCAGCGCCGCTGGGCCCCTCTCCTACCGCCTCTCCTCGACGCTCTCTCACCCCGTCACGCGTTGTTCTGGTCGAGATCTTTCCCGCTGTGTAGCAGTAGCTTTCCCGGGGTCGGAAGGGCCGGTGTGGCCGGTCCCCGGCCGGACAGAAGTGCTGCCACAGCCGACAGGGATTTCGCAGACCTCGGGCGTTCCCGCCCTCAGCGCGGCCCTGCCCGCCGGGCGGGGAGAACCCCTTGGCAGAGACGAGAGCTGTGATTGGCTGCCCCGGCCCCCTCGGAGCGGTCCGGCCAATGGGGAAGGCGCTTATAGTGTGCGAGGCTGCCCTCGTCCAGGTGTTCGCGCGCGCCGTGCGGGCGGCGGTCACGTCCCTGCGGCCGGGGGCTCTGTGCGAGACAATCGGCTGCTGTGCGTGGTTTGTGTTCATGGCGTGGGCGGGCAGAACACGGCTCACCCCATTCCTGCCAGCGGAGAGCGGCGCAGCGTCGTGTGCACGGCCAGGCCCGATGGCAGAGGCGGCTGTGAGCGGGCCATGGCTGGTACAGCTGGTGGCCGGGAGAGGGGCGGGCCTTCTTTTTCAGGTGATCTGTTGGATTCAGGCCTTGTCCTCATAGCAGCTGCAGTGCCTTTGAAGTAAAACCAGCGGCCGTACCAAGTTCCCCATGGTCCATGGCCTCTCCCGTTGTTCTGCCGGTGTGTGCTGGGGTTAGTACCGGGCTGGGAACGTGGCACAGCGGCGTTCGGGGCGGGGGCTTAGGGGAGGTTTGCTTGGGTGAGAACTTGCTCCTTCTTTGGTTGGGTGAGCCCTGTGAGCTGCCTTCTTCATTTGGGAAAGAGTAATGTTATAAAGATTACTTTTAATAGAAAAGCTTTTATATACAAAAGAAAAGTTAATGGTATTCAGTAGATGGGGTTCATATATTGCTCTCTCTTAAATCATAGCTATGAGCAAAAGTGCACTTCTGACTTTCTAATAGCTCACTAGAAGTAAAAAAAAAAAAAAGTAATGTCTTGCACGCAGTTAGTGTGAAAGTCACTATTGCTGCATGTGTAAGAGCAGGGTGTGCAGTAAGTGTATTTGTCACCTAGACGTATTTCCAGCTGCCCAGTGGGACCAGCTTTGGCTTCAGTGCAGGACAGCAAATCTCAAATGCAGCTGTGGGAACCAACAGTAATAAATAACCTCCCTGTAAGTAGCAGGGGTAGGGGGTCTGTCTGCTTTGCAGGGAACTTCAGTCATTACATGAGATCCCTAGAACAAAAACAATTTATGGAAAATCACTAGACAAAATACTGTGCCCATTGATCAACTCCTTCTTATAATGATACATATTTACCTGCCTATAAGTTCATGGATAATTTTTGCATGTTATTTTTTCTGATTAACTAGAAAAGTGAATTCTGTAAGTACACAGTAAATCTTGAATTCACCTGTGGTGAACATCTTATACCTGACTTGTTCTTACCAAAGGAGGTGAATTTTGAAACCGAGATTACAAAAAAAGTAATAAAAATAGATCCTACCTTCTTATTTTATTTTCTTACTTGAGTATATTGTTGATGTGTTCTTAACACAGACTAAGGTGAGAATTTTTCCCTCTGTTATGGCACTATTTTTCTATCCGCTCAAGAAATACAGCCTGTTTTTTGGCAGAGGTTTTTAATATTTATTGCTTTCTTATTACATCAGTTAGAGTTTTGTTCAGCTACAAGTGCATAGCAGCAGAATAATTTTACATGAATCCACCCTGGTTTGCCCTTCCCAAAATAGCTTATTGTTTTAATTTACAGGAATAAGGAACTCTTAAGTGCTTTGTGAAATGGAAATAGTTTTATGGACTTTGTTAACAGGAACTTTAAACAGAATAAAACAAAGTCCTTCTACAAATGCCAAACTGATGGCATGGCCAAAATAAAGAAATAATTGAGCTCTAGCAACATTTTTTATAACTGGTGCAAAAACTGTTATTCCAATTAAAAGTTTGCTGTAAACCAAATAATAGTGGAAGACTGCAACATGCAAAATTGGGCTATCTGAAGGAAGAATTTTATGAGTGGGAAATATGAGGGATTTTATCTGAGAGAAATTAGTTTACTATTTGGAAGAACATGATAAGATCTAAACATGCCGTTTATTTATATTTATTTATAGTGGTAGATATTTCATCAGCACTTTGCATGAGTTTGCTCAGTAATTTTTTCTCTTTTCATACACTTCTGTTTTAGATCCAGTGAGTGAGATGCAAGAAGTGTTAGCTACCTGAGTTCTGTGGACTTCAGGGAAATGACATTATTTTATATCATCTCAGGAAGCTCTGTTTGAGAACAGGGAAAGGAAAAGGCCATATAGCTGCTCTTCCTGTTTCAGTTCCTACAAAGCATCTGTAAGATGAAAAGATGTAGTTTCATTTTATTTTGTGTATGTAAACAGTTCCTTTTCCAATAAAACAGAAGAAACAAGGAAAAAGGAAACAGAAAATAGCAGATATCTCTGCCTGTGTTCTTGCAGTACTTGTAGCCACAATCCTATACTTTGACAGAATCCATCAGTCTGTACTGAGGCTTTCCTTAGTGGTTTCATGGCTTGAGGGGGGGCTCTGGAAAGAAAAGGGAATAAAAGGGGATGGAATTATAAAGCCTATGGCCTGCAGCTTTCTCAAAGATAAGCTTGCCTAACACTCTGTTTTGTTGGTATCAGGTTAGTAATAATTCGGAAGGGCAGAAGATAGGAAGAGAAGGAGGCAATGAACAGGTAGGTTCTTGCCAGAAGTGAGCCACACTCTCCCCTGAATGCTTGCACGGAGTTGTTTTTACCAGGGGTCCTGCTGTCTCAATAAAAGAGTGAGTATCAGATATTCATCTTCAGAATCCCTTTAGCTCATTTGAATTTGGACACATCACTGTGTTACATCAAGTAATTGCTTGAATGTCTGTCAACATTAATAAGTCTCCAGTTGTTAAAGTCTTGGTAAAATAATAAAAATGCTCTAGTGGCTTACATTTGGCAGTCCTTTTGCAGAAGGTGGAGGTAAGGCTTAAATATTTAAAAAGTCAGGAAGCCATTTTTACCTGTGAGTCAGCAACTTTGGCATTTCAGAAACTCAGTAAGAAGCTTTGGAGGGCTGAGAATGCACTGTAAGCTCTAGTGAAAGCAGTGTGCTCTGTCACTGAGCTCCCTGGACTGGCTGTGACAGGAATCCAAAATGCCAGAGTATTGCCCATTGTGCTGTTGTAAGTAATGATTGCACACAAAATAGGAGAATGTATTGGCATGGCAGTGATAATAGTATAATTTGGAAAGTAAACTCTGAAATAAAAAAAACTGACATTTAAGAAGTATTTT